ATGGCAGAGTTGTACCGTCATGCGATCGGATCAGATCATGAGCGAGACCGAAAGCGAACCAGGCAAATTGGGATGCTGTTGACAGACCTGCCAATTACGGCAGTTAATGGTATGGATTCCGTCAATGGTTTGAGCCGTTGACTGTGTAATGATGGGGACTTGAAAGAGCTCAGGACCAAGCACCAATTCACCGACATAAAAGAACCCGATAGCTTAGTGAAAAGTGCCCCCAGGCATATCCCGCCCTGTATTACAACATACCAGTGTTTTCCTGTTTCTTCCTTAAATTGCGGCATTTTAAACAAAAAAAATGTGAACTTCATACATCTGTAAGATGTTTTAAAAAAAATACTAGAGATGGATTTGGAAATTTGAGTTGATGAACATGCATGGCCGCGAGCAAACCTCTGTACACAGCTTTCCATTATGCTGAGAACGCCCTGCATTGCAAGTACCGTACATTATGCGTACGATCGCTTTACCAATATACACAGTACACCTAAAGTATACATGTATTTTTTCCCCTTGGAATCAAATTTAGCAACTAGATTACGGCAACTTTTTTGATGGTAAACAATTTTTTAAAGGTTGTCTGCTAAAAAAAAGTGTGTATTCATGTAGCTGGGGACCACATGGTCGGTGTTGTGCGTTCATGTTTCATTATCCCCCCTGGCCATATATTATATTATAGACTTGATACGAACTTTATAATAACAAAGCACACCAACCTTTTGCATTTTGTGACTTATTGTTATATCTGCAACATCTGGGAGCATTTACTTATTTTTTTTATGGGTAAATTATTATTTTTTCTTTATTTTTTAAATTAAAAAAAAAAGAACATTGTTGATATAAAATTGTGCTGGTTTGATCATGGTACGTGGGTGAATACATTGTCGCTGATATGCCTCTCTGGTATGACAATTTCTCTGAAAATTCCGCTCGTCAAATACCTGTATGTGCATTTACAAAAATAACTGAAACATTCTATAAAGTAATCGAACTGGTAGATTTTACTTGCTAAGACAGATTGCTTCCTATTAATAGTTTGCGAAGCGTTATTGAAAGCGTTAAAGCGTTTTAAATTCCGAATTAATTTTTGTTTGTTTCATTTTCATTACCATATTGGGTCTTTTAAAGAGAATTAAATTTGTTTTTCTGTTTTTGTACTGGGTAATAAATTTTCTTTTATACGTTTAAATAAAAGCTAGATATGACATGCTTTTTTAAAAAAAAAAAAAAAAATCAAAAAGGTATTGGTGAAAGTGGAAATGTTTGTACAGGTCCTTGTGAAGTCGTAGGTCGGTCATTATTTCCATTCCTATTATTGGTAAAGCGATGAGTGTTCAATATTCAGATAGGGAACAATACCAAGTGTTGCCCGTACCCAATTCCAATTCAAATAGCGAAGTTGTTGTCGAAGCAGGTCCATGTGTCAATAGGGAGACGGTGCATTGTGCGCAACTCTGACCGAATCTTTCCTCTCTGTATTTGTTTGCACTGTCTTGTAGCCACACCCCCCTCCATGACATGGGGGGAAAAGCACGGTGCCGGCCGGTGTTGTACATGGTGTTGATTCATTACTCCCTGCGGCTATTGATAATTTTACATGTTTAAAACGCAGTGTTTCAAATTTCTTAAGACTTTCTCATTTTTTTTTTAATTGAAAATGTGCCAAATGTGTTTTTTTTTTAATACTGATAATTGTAATTTGTATCATCACTGTCTTGACAGATACTGTCAACTCAAGGGGCAATATTAAAAATACCAGCTCACTTTTTAACACTAACCGACTTGCACGTCCCCAAACGGTTCTGAGCACATTAATGTCATAATGGTAAAAAATTATTTCCATCAATATTTTAACAGCAATTTTTTTTGTTGCTTTCAAAGTTATATTGCATAATTTATTCATCACGATGCTTTAATTTCATCTTAAGTTCTAAAGCAAACTGGAGAGATACGCTGTATCTGACAAATACACCTACTAGAATGATACACCGTATTTTCATCATACTTTGGTTGAAATTATTGAAGGTGGAGCTACTTTTTGTGCAATTTTGTACAAATTCCGAAGTATGTTTAGTGACGTAATAACACATTGGATGCCGCAAAAGACTCCAAAAGCTTTTGGCTGAATATCTCGTTCATTGTAAATCTACCCCAATCTTCAGAAAAAAAGAAATTTTTCAAATGTGCTTCTTAATATAACTCTCAGACTTTATACTCCATGTGTAGCCACAACAGCACCTGGAATTTTCAAGATTTGATGATTAATTGCAATCACAGCATACAAAATGTTGCCATTGTGAAAATTTGTCTCCTGAAATTAAAGAAGTCTACAATACCTCGTTAATTGTAACGAGGTATTAAATGTATTGTGCGCTGAAAATCAATGTACCTAGTGTAGAATTTCATACTAACCTGCAATACAAGTTTGAAACTGACAATTCTTGGGTTTTCACCAGAATTGCATTTGTCACCAGTTACTTACTCAATTTACAATGTCAAATCTAAAAACAAAAATGACCCAAAATTTTATGCAAAATCTATACATTCAATTCAATGTGTTTATTCTCCCTCTTCAACATCAAATTGATTGTTTTGATCATTTTCACGGAAAAAGTGTTTTTCTTTCTAACATTTTTTTTTTAAAACCATACAAAGCAGCATGAGCGCTAAGATGTTTCAAGTGGCTGGGTGCCAACTCTGTATAAACAATTGGTTTTAATTGCCCCCTTTTAAACAGCTCTTTTTGCCTATAGAATTGAGACTTCTGTTTATTCAGAGCTTAATAATGTCAACTAAAAATAGTCCAATCTGCTCATTCAGGCTGTAAAGTCAACACCGGTGATGATGTATACTTTGAAGTGAGACGTTGTCGGGATATAAAATCATGTATTTTGTCACTTTTATTTGGATATGAAATATGGAAACAAAATAATATGACCGCCATTATTTTTTTTGTTTAAAAATCTAATGTTATTAAAAATAATGCTAATTTAAAAAGTTTGTTCTGTGCAACAGTGTGATATGCTGCTATATTTTTTGAAAATAAAAAATGTAAATGCAATAAGCAGTTCTTTTACTGAACTGATGGATCTGGCCTCCAGAACTTAACATGATATCATTTTGGAAGAGGAAGCTAAATTGAGAAGAAAAGCTGGAAATCAGTCTCTAAAAAATTTCTGCCACATTCAATCTGTTTATAAAAGTAATTCAATGCATTGATTTGTTTTCAACTGCCTCTAAAAAAAATTTTTTATTTCGGACAAAAATTTATATATTCTTGGGAAGTAATTGAGCTCTATCTTGTCGTCAAAGTTACCGTAATTAGAGCCAATAGGTTGTGGTTCTGTGTTAACATCTTGTTTTGTTCTTTACTACTACTGTCGTTCACTGCAAAATTTATGTTTCTATAATCTGAGAGATGTGGAATTTTTGACATTATTAAAAAAAAAGAAAAGAAATAACCTTGTTGATACTATCAAATACTGCGGGTAATGAGTCATGTTCGGCATCCATAAATGTGGGTAAAAGCTTCTTTTACTTATCAGAAAACGATTCAGTCAGGATGTTCAACAACTGTTAATAAGGGTTACTTGCGTCAAATTGGTTTTCGATGAAAAATACAAAAATCTGTTTTCGCTTGCCTGTCATTGATGAAATGGTGCTCAATCGAACAAATTGAAATGAAATTTTATTATTTTTGCAGAATCCAAATTAGGGTATGTGTATCCTGAGGATTTTGGATCTGAAAAAAAAAATCGAAATTGTGTGCTCGGAATTTTACTTTCCCGGCAATAAAAAAATAATTTTTGGGTCAATATCTTTTGAAATCATTCTTTGCTTTGCATTTATTATGATATGAAATACTGTCAAGCTCCACTTCATAAAATTGACTGCTGCATTTTCCTAAAGCACTGTCATCCATGGATGTCATCTTGTTATGACTCGTTGATGACTATGCTGTCTTTCCTCGGGGACAAACTTAATGAAAATCTAGTATGGTTTAGATGCTAGTGCCATACTTTCAGGCATTGATGAGAATGGCTGAATGGACGGGCTGCGAAAGCAAACAAGCTGAAGTCTTTCAGAACGGGACTAAATTTATTCCGTAGTATAATTCCGTGTGTGCAGAGTATATGCAAGTAGGTCCTGTGTATGGAGCTAGAATTACTGTTCAATATTAGATGCTGTCAGTTGAATTGCATGTTCAATTCATTGGCTGTGTACCAAGTCTGCTTAAAATTGCGGTTTAGCGAGTGTTTGGCAGTGCTTAGTTTCACCGGGTTTAATTCCTAGTCTCGTGAGATTGCCTCTATCCTATGTCATGTGACATGGAGATTGCATCAAAGAAAGGAAAAATAGAAAAAAAATCTCTTGCTATTGAAATTTACGTGTTGTTTAGGATGTCACACTGTAACGTTGTACGTTTACAATTGTTGCTATCCAGTATGCGAATGTTGGATAACAAATATCGCCTACCAATCAGTAATACCTAGTGATCTGCTGCGAAAACGTTGTCTTTCAATTTGTTTCATTTATAGGGATACGTGCATGTATAATATCGACTAACAACGTCGTTATTTTATTTTCGAATGTGAGTGACCAGTTCTTGCCGACCAGTCACTGCACATGTGCATGTGTACAATATGTAAACAAGTGTGACATTTCTATTGCAAGATGTCGTGACACGTACAGTTATTTTCAATACCCGCCGTGTTTCAAGGCAGTGATAAATTTTCACACGACATATGTTAGCTTACTGCTGCCTTGAAATTATTGTAAAAGTCGCAAAATATGGACTTGTTAAAAATTGTTATTTTCGTAGGCCCATAGTTAAATATAAAGAATCTCAATAAACACCTTTGTAAACTGATCATCTGATTGCTCTTTTGGTGTAAAAGTCTTGTTGGGTATTTTCATGAGTGTTTCATGTTTGTTGCATCTATTTTTCAAAAATATTAAGCATTTTTTTTTTCATCCTTTATTTCTAGGTGCAAACTATTCCTATTTGAGCGGCTACATGACTTCGGTACCTGATGCTTACAAGCAGTCACCGAGCGGATCGCCTGGCTCTCTCCCGTTAAGCCAGTACTGGCCACCCTCAGAAGGTATGTACTTTACCCGCACATGCACTCTCATAAATACCACATTTGACACTGTTGCCATGACTACCGGTACTTCCTATTGCAAGACTCTTTTCTTCCTTGTTCCCGTAGTCAACCCTCTCTCAGTTTGAATGCTTTTATCATGCAAAACCAAAAACTTACATATTATCAAACCTTTTTCACGTTACAGACAACTTGATCTGTTTTCCGGTCATTCCAGATTTCCTAATGTGCATTGTGTAACCATGGTTACCATAAATAAAAATGCCTGACTGATGCATCTTTATCTTAAGTTACAGTAGCATGCATCAGGCACTTTTTGTTGCATGTCTTGACATCTGCCGAGCACTTTCCATTCCCTCTAGTTTTTTTCATGCCCTAACTAAATATAGACAGGGCAGGTTTCTTTTTTATGGCTTCTGTCATTTTAAGATGAAAATAAAAATATGAAGCTTATATTTCGATATCCATTCTACACCTGAACAATAGTTGTCACTGTGTTTTTCCATCAAATCTCGTGCCTTGCAGTTATTTTTGGAATTTATAAATAATTATCGTTGTGATGTGCTGTACTAAACCGAAAGGGGTCTGCAATCCGCATAGCTTTCAACAACTAAAATTGTGAATGTGTACATCACAATTCTGAGACTCGCGTAAAGCATGATTCGGTCAGAAATGTACATGAATTGGGGTTTTGATTATGGATCACCTTCGAAAATTGGTACATGTTTCTTGTCACAGTTTGGGTACCGTGTTACAACACCCCAACCAACAGTTTTTGTTGAGTTCTCCTGTGAACTGTTACAAACACTGTAATTTTTTTTCATCAAAATGTGCTCTATGGTATTAGCCATAGATATAACACAACTACTGGGCATGCCATGTCTTGAGAGAAATCATGATTGATATAGATTCACCACGTAAATTTCTCTTCAGCGAGTACGTAGTTGATTTGAAACAAGTTACTTGTCTCATGTCCTTCTTGTCTTGGATAACGCATGAAAAGAAATTCAAAATTAATTTTTCTTAAGTTTCCATGCTGTATTTTAACTTTTTCCCCACCAGTTCCCTCTTTTTATCACAAATTCACATCCTGTTTATAGTCTGCACTTTCCTTCAGAATTTTGGGACAAAAACAGTCAAATTTTTTGCATAAAAACTGAAAATTGACTCAAATTTTATCTGTTGGCTCCAAAATTATGGTTCATTTCAAGAAATATTGAGGAATATAAGGAAAAAAGTGCAGGAAAATTTGAGATAAGAAGTCTGGTGGTGAAAAGGTTAAACTACTGAAAAGAATGAGGCATTTCAGACCATCCCCATTTTACAACTGATGCTAGTTCGTAGCTGTTCACTCCATAACCGCATTCCTCGTGTGCGGAAAATTGTTCAGTGTAGCTCAATTTGCTCGTGTATTGAAAGTTCATTTCTTACTTTTATGTCTGCCCGTGTTATTTAATATGAAGTCTTTTCATCAGCCGGCTTTCATTATGACAGGTGTGCTTAGGAGAAAAATGAACTTCATTATTAAAGAGGAAAAAAAATGAATGAGATTTTGAGTCGTTAGTGAGTGAAAGGAACGTACTTCGAGCCATTCTGAATGTCTTCTCAGTACTGCTAATTCAAAATGAATTTCAGTTCATCCATCTCCTTACTTAATCCCACTGTCTTCTCAGTTTTCAGCCCTGAATCTCTTTCCTGTCATTTCCAACAACCTCCCATTTATTATTCTTGTATCCTATTTGCGGTATTTTGTGTGTAGAATATGGAAATTTAGATTTTTCGCATAACTCTGTGATATTTAATGATGCAAAACTTACCTTTTGAATGGATTTCTATTCTTCGTCACCTGGATACTCCCACGATAAAAAGTAAATGTGCTTTAGAATAAATATGCTGGGGGGAAATCAGTTGCTGGTGATTGGAATAATCAAGGAAATAATCGCGTGATAGTATGTTATCACGTTAGGGTTAATTGCAGTTTTCTGTCAATAGTATTTTCGATATATTCAACTGCTAATTTGCATGGGTTGTTTCGCTGGAAATTTGTTTTATAATTTTTATTGTCATTTTTCCACCTTAAATTTTGTTTTTCATTTTGTGGGTTGTTAGGTTTTGTTTAATTAATATGCAATGAGAAATATATAATTAGAAATTAGTTAATGATGATTGGGGAAGGGGGGGGGGATTGGGTAGCAACCAGGCAGGTGAAGTTATAGTTATTACTGGTTATGAAAATTGGCTTTGGTTGATAAATTATAAGATAATAAAGATAATACTTGCAAGGATAATGGATTTCTTACTAAATGCAATTTCGTTTCAATGCTAGCTGTCAATCGAAGTCTGAATTTCATATCCCAAGGAAAGCTATCTGATACTTTTGTTTTTGTATATATATGATATACATGTATATGCCAGCCTAGATTTTATGTGTATTTAATGTCATTTTTGTTCTCACCAGGGGATCCCCCCCCCCCACGCATAGATCGATCAGTGTGAGTTTGCCACAACACCGCCAGAATTGATGAAAAATAAAATATAACCAGTTAGCTAATAGGTTGAAATAGTGGGCAATGGTTAATCACTCAATTTGTCAACAAATATGTATATATGTGATCTATCTCGCTTTGATCAGTCGTTTTGTGACCTTTTCGGGATCTACGAGACTTCTGCAGTTGTCTTGGCAATAATAGGAAATCGAAAATAAATCTTGAAATTGTGAATGCAAATATTTGCGAATTGTCATTCTCGTAATGTCTCGGTGCTTGTCACTGAAGATGATGATTCACTCGTGACTGCTTTTCATTATTTTGGTTACGGCAAGCCTGATTGAGACATTAGTAAGAAAGTGAAGAGATTAAAAATTAAAAAAATCTATTATAGAGAATATCACTGCCAGTATGACTAGAAGGAAGCTGTTCATCCAACATCACAAATGCTTGTATTTTAAAATGATTTGACAGCTTTTCATAAAAGCCTGTGACGCTGCAGCTGAAAGAAGCCCAGAAAAATCCCACAGTTGCAATGATAACTTTTTGCTATGTTCTCAAGACTTTTATCGTTTTTTAAATTAAAATACTTTACCGTATCACATTTTTTCCCCAAATATTAAACATCACAAAGAGACGGGGGGAAATAAAATTTCTACCAAAATTTCTAAAAATAATTTAAATTGAATATAAAAGATAACATCACTCTGTTGCGTTGATTTTTAAAACTGCAAGCAATAAAAGGAGTCTGTTTTTATCCTGCAATCCTCATCCATCCACAACCTTGCCTGTTTTTATCTTGGCTCTTTAAAAGTCTTTTAGATGTACTCAAGTGTATGGAATGGGAGAATCCATCATTAATTCTGGATTCCCGATTCGTAAAGGCCTTGTTGGAAAGTTTTAAAGTGATTTAACCAAATCACAATTAAAAGTTATTTGGAATGTCATCAGCTTTGCTGAAATACTGATTGGTGAATTTTGTTGTGATGTTGATTGTCTGTCATGATGGCATGTAGTCAATAGAAGATGGAGTTTCACTGATTGATCGATGCATTAGGTTGAACATGGTGTGTATCACCATGAGGGGTTACGCTAATTTTTTGTCAAGTCAGTGCGATAATGACTGTTAAAGCGAAAAAATGTCTCTAAAGTTCTTTTACTGCGATGCTGATTAACTTGTATCAACAAAACGTTCGACTGTACTAGTACGTAGTATCTATTGTATCTCGAGTACGCTGAAAAAATAAAGGCACGCAATTATGAAATCCTGTTTTATTGCTTGTTTTGTTTTGTTTATTGCTAAACCTCGACAGTATCTTATGTGAATTGAATGTGTTTTTAATAGTTTTTTAGCTCCGCTGTCGACTTTGTCAAGCGGAGCTTATCATATGAGTGATTGTCCGGCGTCGTCGTCCGGTGTCCGTCGTCTGTGTCAATGTTTTACTTTTTCGACTTCTTCTTGAAAACTACAAGCCTGAATGCTTTGATACTTTGTGAATATGTACCTTGGGTAGACCTCGCTTAGATTTGTTCATTTCATGATCATATCTTCAATTCTTTAATTTTGGTGAATATTTTTGTCATTTTTGGTAAAAAGTGATATTTTCGACTTCTTGTTAAAAAACGCAAGTCCAATTGCTTTGATATTACATATATAAGTATTACATGTGGACCTCTCTCAGATTTGTTCATTTTGTAATGACATCTTCAATTCTCCAATTTTGGTAAATATTTTTGTCATTTTTGGTAAAAAGTGATATTTTCGACTTGTTAAAAACGACAAGTCCAATTGCTTTGATATTACATATATAGATACTACATATGCACCACTCTCAAATTTGTTCATTTCATGATGATATCTTCAATTCTCTAATTTTGATGAATATTTTTGTCATTTTTGGTAAAAAGTGATATTTTCTTCTTGTTAAAAACCACAATCACTCGTGGTTAAAAATAATATTTTTGAATCTTGTTGAAAACAGCAAGTCCCTGTGCATTGATACTATACATATTGTTCATTTTCTAATGATATCTTCTGTTCTTTAATTGAAATGTGCATTGCTAACAGCGGAGCTATCTCAGCCGAGAAGCTGCTTGTTTTAAAAAACTAATTGTTTTGTTTATTGGGTAATGACCCATTTAAGTTCAGTTGGAAACAAATGGTTTGTATGGTATGTTTCAGTACATGCACATGTACGGTTCCCAATGCCTTAATTGATCGAATAAAATTACAATATTTGAAAAAAAACACTGTAAAATATTTAATGTCATGTGGGATAAGTTTTATTGTGAGCAAAATTGTGTTTTTGATGTGTTAAAGCGGGAGAGTCGTCACCTGAGCATGCGTCAGATGGCCATAGCGTGTCATTGCTTACAAACAAGAGTCTACCCATGAGCCTTTGCGTTTTAGCGTGTGTTATCGTCGCTTGGGACTCAATTCCCGCATGTGCGCAGGCGACGACACCTTCGCTTTAAGTATTATGCAACAGCTTTGTGTTTCTCTAAATATCTGCA